AAAAAATAGATTTTTCATATGTTTTACTATGTGATCGACAAAAATTACGTAGACTTTTGTCCAGTGAGTGTATACTGTACATATATAAACCGAGAATAACGTCAATGAAAATGAAAAAAAAAACGCCTTATTTTCTGGTAAAGCAAGCATAAAAGTATCTACCGTCTAATTTTTGAGGCCATAATCCACGTCCTTGAAAAGCTATAAGGTTTTGAAGTTTATACGTCTTTTACTCTCGCAAAATGATCGGCGAAAAAAACCTCATATACGGGCTTTCATAGGTGACTTCACCTATGTTTGGATCCCAATAAATACCAACAATCCAAAATACTCGGGCAAATTTTTGACCACTCAAACAACAAAGTGCACAACCATTACAAACTGACAACGTAAAATCACCCATACGAACGTACACTTATTCGCTTTACTCACAATATGACAAAACTGCAACAATACGAATAACACTCCCACAAATAAACCATTCATTGTACGAAGCGTGCCACTCACTACCATTCTTGTTCATACATACAAATTAGTAATGAGCCGGGTTACTGTCTATGATTTATTAGTAAAGTCTGGAAAATTTTTTTATACTGTTAGTATTACGCATATTAATATTTAGATTTGATTTAATTACACATGTACGCTCACTCAATAGTAAAACACTTGAAAAATCTAATTTTTCGAAGACCTCCATTGTCTGTATGTACTATGTACGTCGCCATAATTTTTATACCGTTTTGAAGCTAATTGACTGTATTTTTCGAAAAAAGAGTGATGTATCCGGTCCATTTATCGTTAAAATCGATGAAGTGGCAATACCATGTTACAGGTAGAAATTTTCATATGGTTTCATATGTGTAACATAGCTACGCACTACTGTTTTAGAACGATAAGGGGCCAGATATGTCACTCTTTTTTTTTCGAAAAATACAGTCACAAACATTATTCCGACTACATAGTACGTACAGACAATAAAGGTCTTTGAAAAATTAGATTTTTCATATGTTAAACGGGTTCTCTGACAATGATTAAAACCCAATTTGGATGGCCATAGTTAAGTCAGTACGCACCTTGCGGCGGTTGCAAATTTTGATGTGTATTCCAATGTGATTGAACAAATCGAGAATAGAAACCCAGATTTTATTCGAAAAAATTTGTAAATCTCTCAATTAAACGAATATCATATGGAGCTAGTACTAGTCCATTATGAATATTCATAATACTGTATCTAAATATAGTAAACAAATTAACATCAAACTGTTTGTATTCAAATATCGGTCAGTTTAATGTCTAGTATTAAGTCATGTTATTGTGACACTGAAAAAAAGCCCAATCCGTGGAATAATCGCCAAGATAGAGACGTTCTGTTATACGCTGCTAATGTTTTAACCTTTGTAAAATGTTTTTAAATAAAACATGCTTAAACTCGTATACTCATCAAAGCGGAACCAATAGAATTGTGATATAATTGATCACACATTTTGTCGATACTTTTTTCCGGTGAGTGTATCTTCCATGTGACTATATGATCGCTCGATCAGGAAATTGCGATTTTCCATGTCGAGATGTTTTAAACAACTCGTGTCATTTCTGGATTAAGGAACTATATTGTTGTTGCTTTTTATGCAACTGCTAAAATACTATATCAGTTAGATAAAAAGGTCATCTGTATTAACCATATTTATTTTATCAAAAAGGAAAATTTTGTATATTATAACTTGGTAAAGTTTATAAATAGGGAACTTCCGATAATACTATCGTAGCCAAGACATCTGACTCCCTCTACAAGAACAACTAGAAGCAATTTAATTTCATATACCTTCCGCTTTTTTTTTTTTTGTATCATCTCCAGAAACAATAACAACGATATGTTTTCTCATTTGTGTATAAAATACGTTTTCTTTTTATTTGCAATCGCGACCATAGTCGCAGGAAGATCTCTAGAAGAAATGCGGAATTCGACTCTAAAACAAACACGGACTCTGTCTCTGAGTCGTCGTGCAAATCCGTGTAATGACCCTCGCTACCCTGTGTTTGGAGGCTCTTTTTGCAAAAACGAGAGGAGGATTGCTGTTGTATGCGAGGCTCAAGATTTTCCCAACCTTTATGAAGTTACTGAAGCACAATGTCAGCCAGACACAACTTGTGTTGATTTTATCCGCCCCGAGAAATCGACTCCACTCGCAGCGTGTCTTACCAATGATAACATACGGAGGTGGAATAATGGCGGTCAGCGTGGCATAATCTGCGACTCGAATGGTCGTAGTTTTAAAACCAGTGCAAATACAATGGTATTTGGAATGACAACATATGATACCAACTCGAATCCAACAGCAGTAGATTCGATGTCTGGGTCTGTTGGTGGTCTTACACTTGGTAGAACCATTCATGAAAGTCATTTCAGTGCAGTTTACAAGAATTACCGGGCCGGTCAATTAGTCAAAATGTGTTTCGATGCAGGCCCTCGGTTCGTAACTGCTGTAGCTGGGGCTCTGATTTATCCCTCTGGGCAATAACGACGAATTTACAGTACTCTTAGAATAAATTCCTTAATTCTTGACAGTTTGGGGGCTACTGCCAATCTGGGTTTCTAATACTTTAGATTAGTATTTTTTCGTATCGGGTTGTTATTTTTTGATATACTAGTTCGCACATTTGGTATCTCTTTAATTAGATCATGGAAGATTTTTATCACCTGATTCGCTTTCCTTTTCTTCAACGTGGTGTTATAAATTTATTCGTGTGTGGTGATATTGTTGACCTCAGTTTTGGACCGAGATGCCGAAATGTTCAGTTCAGACTCTGTCTCGGTTT